ATAAAAGACATTACCTGTTGATACTCCACAGCTTAGGAGGCATGCCCTATTTGGAGGGATAGCAGGATCAATTTTTACTACATGGGCAACATCTAGCACTGTATACTCACTAAAGCTAGAAACAAACAGAAAATGGTATAAAGGCTCTCCATTAAGATCTGTGAATCTGGTGGTGTCATTTCTAGGCATCCAAGGCTTCAACGCGAAAGGAAGTTTTGAACATAGGTTGCTTTTCTTTGATCTGCAATCCACACAGTCTCCACAATCTGCCATGAAGGTCGGAATGACAGTATCTCCTTCCTTCACCTCCTCAACATTCTCTCCCACACTTTCCACAACCCTAAAATAAAACACTAGTTTCTTTGAAATCTACACCATGAATGCTATAAAATGCATGCATTGAGTTCAAAAACAAAAAGAAACGTGATCCTGGAGATGTCAGTTCTTCCCCTACAAGTATAACTTCATGAAATGAGGTATGAATTCTCAAACAACATAATTCAAAACATGTGAGCTTCAACACATGACGAGCATCTAATAAAATATTAATTGATAGTAAATGAATTAACTATTTTATATTTAAATTGTACATGTTGCTTATATTATTTCAATTGTGGGACTCTCCCACTTAAACATCAAAGATAATGATCCCTTTTTGAAAAGAATTCCAATCGGGATTCATAAAAAAGCTGAATTGGATTAGAGTTAGAGATATTTGCTCAGAAGAGAATTTCAAATCTCTTGTTAATAACAAAACTATCTTTGGCTTTCAATAATAAACACCCAACACTTTCCCCTTTCCCATCTACAGTCCACACACCGAGAAGGTTTTCACCGTGGGATAACAGGATGACAATTTGACACGCCATTAAAAATAAACCTGTGGGTCTGCGTAAGAGAGAGAAGGGATTCATTTTTTCTTAAGTGTCAGCATTTACTGGCCGTCAGTCATGCCTAGAAAGAGATCTAACGGTTATATTATGGAGAATCTCCCACAGAGCCACTACTACCCCAAAGGGACCTTTCCCATTGAGAGATATCCAGTCAAAAGCCCAAAAGTTAGCAACACAAGTAGATAAAATATCCACAAATAGATAAAATATCCACAAATATTCATCTGTTCTGAAAGTTTTTCTCTTTAAACTTGGGGAATCAGGAACTTGGCTAGAATCCAACCCAGATCCCTGGTCGAGTGGGTGAAGCACTAACCACCCTCCACCCACACCCACTCCCACAGTCCCACTCTAGTACCTGGGTTCTCTTTTTTGTTTTTATTTTTGGTAGAAATTAAACCTGGGTTCTCTAATATGAAAGTTGCATCTTGGGACAAAAGATAGAAATAAATAAAAAACAGATAAATGTCATAATCATCCGCTGTTCACTTTCCTCCATTATCTACGTCAATTGCTTTGACTTTTAGGATGAAGAAATACTGTTAAGCAAAGGAAGTGGAAGCTTACCCGATAGCTTCGTGGCCGAGAATTCTAGGAAAACAAGCAGGAGGCACCTTCAATTTCCAAAAGGTGATATCACTGTAACAGAGAGAAGTGCAGATAATCCGAATCCGGACTTCATAGGCACCTGGAGGAGCCACCGTGATCTCCTCTATCACCAGCGGTTCACCTGGTTGCCGACTGACGGCAGCTGCAACTCACCGTAAAAGAAACTT